GAATTTCAGTAGGACTTCCCTGATTTCCAAGAATTAAAATGGCAGGACTGTCCTGAACTTAGGCAGGACTTCCCTGAACTTTGGCATGTCTTCCCTGAGGTTCGGCAGGCCTTCGCTGAATTTCGAAAGGGGTTTTCTGAACTTCATCTGGACTTCTCTGATTTCCATGAATTGAAATGGCTGGACTTCCCTGAACTTCGGCAGGCCTTCCCTGAACTTCATTAAAACATTCCTGAAATTCGGCACGATTTCCCTGAACTTCGGCAGGACATTTCCAAAGTTTGGTAGGACTTCCCCGAAGCTTGGCAACACTTCTCTGAACTTCGGCAGAACTTCTCTGAACTTCAACAAAACTTCTCTGAACTTCAACAAAACTTCACTGAACTTCAGCTGAACTTCCCTGATTTCCAAGAATTGAAATGATAGGACTTCCCTGAACTTCGGCAGGCCTACCCTGATGTTCTGCAGGACTTCCATGAGCTTTGGAATGTCTCCCCTGATCTCCGTCAGGACTTCCCTGATCTTCGTCAGACCTTCCCTGAACTTCAACAGGAGTTTCCTGAACTTCATCTGGACTTCCAAGAATTGAAATGGCAGGCCTACCCTGAAGTTCTGCAGGCCTTCTCTGAACTTCGGCAGGAGTTCCCTGAACTTCGTCTGAGGTTAGGCAGGCCTTCCCTGAACTTCGGCAGAAGTTTCCAGAACTTCATCTGGACTTCTCTGATTTCCATGAATTGAAATGGCTGGACTTCCCTGAACTTCGGCAGGCCTTCCCTGAACTTCATTAAAACATTCCTGAAATTCGGCACGATTTCCCTGAACTTCGGCAGGACATTTCCAAAGTTTGGTAGGACTTCCCCGAAGCTTGGCAACACTTCTCTGAACTTCGGCAGAACTTCTCTGAACTTCAACAAAACTTCCCTGAACTTTGGCAGAACTTACCTGAATTTCGGCAGGACTGCCATGAACTTCAGCAGGACTTCCCTGATTTCCAAGAATTGAAATGGCAGGCCTACCTTGAAGTTCTGCAGGCCTTCTCTGAACTTCGGCAGGAGTTCCCTGAACTTCGTCTGAGGTTAGGCAGGCCTTCCCTGAACTTCGGCAGAAGTTTCCAGAACTTCATGTGGACTTCCATGATTTCCAAGAATTGAAATTGCAGGACTTCCCTGTACTTCATTATGACTTTCCTGAAGTTCGGCAGGATTTCCCTGAACTACGGCAGGATATCCTTGAACTACGGCAGAACTTTCCAGAAGTTTGGTAGGCCTTCCCTGAAGCTTGGCAACACTTCCCTGAACTTCGGCAGAACTTCTCTGAACTTAGGCAAAACTTTCCTGAACATCGGCAGAACTTCCCTGAACTTCGGCAGGACTTCTCTGATTTCCATGGAAGGGCTTTCCTGAACTTCGGCAGAACTTCTCTGAACTTCGGCAGAACTTCCCTGAACTTCAGCAGGACTTTCCTGATTTCCAAGAATTCAAATGGCGGGACTTTCTTGAACTTCGGCAGAACTTCTCTGAACTTTGGCAGAACTTCCCTGATTTCCAGAATTGAAATGGCAGGTCTTTCCTGAAATTCGGAAGAACTTTCCTGAACTTCGGCAGAACTTCTCTGAACTTCGACAGGACTTCCCTGATTTCCAAGAAATTGAAATGGCAGGATTTTCCTGAACTTCGGCAGAACTCCTCTGAATTTCAGCAGGACCATGAACATCGGCATGACTTCCCTGAACTTTGGCATGTCTTCGCTGAACTTCGTCAGGACTTCCGTAAGGTTCGGCAGGCCTTCCCTGAAATTCGGCAGGAGTTTCCTGAACTTCATTTGAACTTCCCTGATTTCCAAAAATTGAAATTTCACGACTTCTCTGAACTTTGGCAGGCCTTCTCTGAACTTCATTTGGACTTCTGAAATTCGGCAGGACTTCTCTGAACTACGGCAGGATTTCCCTGAACTTCGGCAGACCTTACCCAGTTCGGTAGGCCTTCCCTGAAGCTTGGCAACACTTCCCTGAACTTTGGCAGAACTTCGACAGAACTTTGGCAAAACTTCCCTGAACTTCGGCAGAACTTCCCTGAATTGCGGCAGAACTGCCCTGAACTTTAGTAGGATTTCCCTGATTTCCAAAAAAATTAAATGGCAGGACTTTTCTAAACTTCAGCAGGACTTCGCTAAACTGCGGCAAGTCTTCCCTGAACTTTGGCAAGATTTTCCCTGAAGTTCGGTAGGCCTTCTCTGAACTACGGCAGGATTTCTCTGAACTTCGACAGGTCTTACCCAGTTCGATAGGCCTTCCCTGAAGCTTGGCAACACTTCCCTGAACTTCGACAGAACTTCACAAAACTTCCCTGAACTTCGGCAGAACTTCCCTGAATTGCGGCAGAACTGCCCTGAACTTTAGTAGGATTTCCCTGATTTCCAAAAAAATAAATGGCAGGACTTCTCTGAACTTCTCTGAACTTCAGCAGGACTTCCCTAAACTACGGCAAGTCTTCCCTGAACTTTGGCAAGATTTTCCCTGAAGTTCGGTAGGCCTTCCCTGAACATTGACAGGACTTTCCTGAAGTTTGGCAAAACTTCCCTGAACTTCGGCAGGACTTCCCTGAAATACGGCAGGACTTCTCTGAAATTTGGCAGAACTTTCGGCAGGACTTCCCTGAAATTCGGCAGGACATCCCTGAACTTGGTACCTTGAAATTGAAGTTGTCATTTGAGTAGTAGAATCATTTAAATTATACAATAATTTTGTATTTACGAATATGGTTTGAATTTTAATAATTCCCATTGGTGCGTTTTGAATTTGGATGTGGTTCGAACGGGTGTGGATTCAGTATCAACGGAAAAGCATTAACTTTCACCTTAAGGCTCAAATGTGAATGATTCTAGATAGAGCTGGAATTAGGGCGTAACAGCTTTGGTAAACAATGACTTCTCTCGTTGATTTCTAGCAACTCAAGGCACGCCTACACAAATCAACATATCCATCGGGTAGGAGAAGTCTTCCCCTATTCGATGGTAATGTTGATTTGCCAGGGAGCGTCATGTCTTTCGAGAAATCATCGAGAGAAGCCATTGTTTACAAAAGCTGTTACGCCCTAATTCCAGCTCTATCTAGGATTGACCACAACAAACAATTATGCAAAGTTTCATGCAAATCGGAAAAGGTTGCATCAGATCGATTCGTCATTTGACGTGGAACTGCTCCTTTCGAGAATGCAGAAGTAAACCTTCGGATGGTCCCAGAATTTGCTTTCGGAATCCCGTGTTGAACTTGTCTTGAGAAGGCCCTTGAAGTCACTGGCAGGAATTTCCAGAAAATTTCCTAGATTCTAGCTTCAATTTTAAAGCTCCTAAACCGTGTCCACACGGTCGTTCACATCGATTCAAATTGACCTATTGAAAATTGATAAAGTGTTCATTTAAGCAGATTCGTAGAAAAATTTCCAATCGATTAGCTTGTTTAGAATTTAAATCCATCCGCTATTGACGGAGTTATAAGTGGTGAAAATCTAACCACTTTTCGTAACGCAGTCGATTTTGGTTTTTTGGACGTAATCGTACGTCAAAAACGCCATGGAACTTGAGGAAATTTTCTAGAAGCTAATGCAATTTTGTAGGTGTTCAGAGAACATTGTTGTACGAAATCCATTCAGGCTTAAGAAACTTGGTAGAAATTTAGAATTCTAGATTCCTAGAAGTTTAGGAAACATAGAGACATGAAAATATCGCAGTAGTTTGGGGAATTTCGTAGAAGTGGACAGAACTTTCCAGAAATTCGTGCAACAATCCACAAGTTAAGAGAAAGGCATCTTTGGATAAGCTAAACTTTGCGGAAGTACAGGATTTTTCGTATAAGTTTAGGACACTTCACATTCGCATTCGCAGCTAGTTGCACAAATTCGTAGATGGTACAAGTCCTAGACCATTTTATTAGATAGTAGTGCCACCTCCGTCCGTTACCATATAGACCGAAATTGTTAGTGGGGAAGGTAAAGCCTCAGGATACGTTTGGTTAAAGAGATCTCACCAAACTCTGCGTCCGAAATACCAATTGTTTATTCTAGAACACTGTACGTGAAAATGTTGAAAACATTTCCGTGCGCCAAAAGTCCATCAGCCAATTGCAGTAACAAATGATCACACATAGTTGCAACGGTGGAGATGCTCTTATACCCGTGACGTTTGGAACTGCAGCGATGAAATGTCAGCCCTCTCGTAGAAGGTAAGGTAACTTCGTAGAATTTTTAAGAATTAAGTTGATATTCACGGATTTTCTGTAAGATATCCAAGCTTGAGGATCTCAGGATTTCCCTTAGATTTCCTTTGGACTTCTTGCCCCTTTGAACTTATCTTGGACGACTGCTGTGAAGACCGTGAAGAAATTGAACAGGGAATCTATTTTCGTGTATTTTGACAGTCGACTGAGTCGCCCATAGTGTAATAGTTTTGGCGCGGCACGGTCGTTTCCGCGAGAGAAGTAGAACCCGTCACAGGCAAAAAGAAGCCAGTTGTCTCCTCTTCCTCTTAGGGACTACCTAGCTTCGCCAATGGCGGAGAATAAAGCGAGAATAAAGAGATCCATGCTCCTCGGTCGGGAACTGGAACAGCAGTAGGACAATAGACCATTCGCGTGCCACACGTCGAAAGGGGATGGAAGAAAGTGGAGGACGCTCAGCCCAGATCAATCTGCCGCCTTCACTTGCCTCGGAAAGCATGATATCCATCCCGGCAACTCTATCTATACATCCATGCGTTCGGAACAAATTTAAAGTCCCCGTAATTGATTTCTACTCTCCGTCTCTTTGTGTCTGATCCTCCGCCAGGATGATGGCGGAGATAAGTTAACCCGCCTCGCAAGAAACCATAATCCCAAGGAAACATGCTTCGTTACATCCTTTTGCAACACACACACACACACACACACACACACACACACACACGTATACTGCCAGGTCCAATTTGAAATTATAATTTAATTTTCTCAATTTTCATCCCACAAACAGACGTCGGACATAGCCGGACGGAGTGATGCAGTCCGTATAGCCGAAGCCCATTCGCCATCCACACACACACAACAATGTCGTCCCTACGGAAGTCGGCATCGTTCCGGTCGCGGATTCCGGTGCGAAGGACACGCGTTTCGACCAGACGTTGCGTAAGTCCGCAGCCCTCCACTTCGACGGTGACCAGTACGGGATCGATGTACGACGTCGGAGCAGGTGGCCGGCAGTGGTACGAACGGCGCTACTCTTCGTCCAGCTACTCCAGCAGCGACGAGAGCCACGACGAATCCGAGACGCCACTTAAGGTAATTTGTTTACCCGTCCACCAGGTTCTGAGGAGTTTTTATTGCACAACCAAAGTTGCACTCGTAAATGGATGAAAAGTAGGTTCGAACTCGTTTCCGTAAAACTCTCCTTCCCCATTGTAGCCGGGGAACTGGGATACGGTTTCAACCTTTGTGATTACCCAACATACACGCTATCGGGAGCGATGTGCGAAAGTGCGACGTTTCCACTATAACAACGAAAAGCTCCCATCATCGCAGTTGTGCCTTGAGCTGCAGCGTTGCCAGATGGTTTTCGAGCTCATCGGTAATTTTATATTTGTGTCGTTTTCGAAGGCGAATATTTTATTTTTTGGACTAAGGACGGAAAGTCGGAAGAAATTTCCGGGGAATGTTTCAATTAGCTATTAGTTAGAATAGTGACATGAAGCTAAGTCCGGTCAAAACAATGGTTTTTCACTGTGCTGCCTCAAAAATGGTAGCAGACGTTTTTGAAGGCATTCATTTTTGTAATTTTCACCATTGATGATGCCTTTTGTGACGAATATTTTACTTCTTTTTCCACAGGTGCAGATAAAGGCTGACTGAAAGTAAATTGGTACGCCCCTCGCGCGCCGCTAGCACGCCTCTAGTGTTAGGAATCGAAAATCTTTGACAGTGGTTTATTTACACTTCTATAGAGAACAACTGGTGCAAGTTTGATCAAAGTAGTCGATCGCGTTCAGAAATAACGTTAAATGGAACTCGAAAGAAGAAAAAGTATTGTGCACAAACACCTGCAAAATCCGGAGTGGTTCGGTTCCAAGCAGGCTAAAGTGCTGAAGACGCCGAAAACAACAGTTTGTCGAGTACTCAAAACCTGCAAGGAAACCCTGAGTGTGGAAAGGAATAAGCGGACCTACGAAAAAACTGGAACCAGGAATCGTCAGCTACGCAGCAAGGTGTTGAGGTGCGTTAAAGCCAACCCTGGTCTTTCGATCCGAGATGTGGCCCGAAGGTACAACGCCAACTTTCGAACGGTGCGGAACATCCTTGCCAGGGAAGGATACAAGTCGTACAAAGCCAGTAAACATCCGAACCGGATGAAGCAGAATTCCGTGGCAAAAAATCGTGCAAGGCTCTTGTACGACCATGTTTTGACGAAACACAAGTGTTGCACTTTAATCGATGACGATGACGTCAAACTCGATTTTAAGCAGCTTCCCGGTCAAAAGTTTTACATCGCGACTGGACGTGGGGATGTGCTGGAAAGATTTAGGTTCGCGAAGAAGGCCATAATTTGGCAAGCGATTTGCAGTTGTGGCCTGAAAACGGAACCATTCGTCCCATCCTCGACGATGACATCCCAAGTTTACATCGAAGAATGCCTGAAAAAGCGTGTATTGCCGTTCATCCACAAGCATAGGGGCAAAGTCATCTTTTGGCTCGATTTGGCCAGCTGCCATTACTCTAAGGTGGTTCTGGAGTGGTATGCTGCCAACAAGATCGATTTTGTCCCCAAGCTAATGAATTGCCCGGAATTTCGAGCAATCGAAAAATACTGCGCAATTTCAAAGCAGCGACTTCGACGAAGCGGCCGGGCAGTCAAGGACATCCAACAAATTGCGAAACACCGACCCGTTTGGCAATATCACGGGCTGAAATGTTGGGATTTCGGGTGAAATTACCCTTCACCTTTTCCTCCGTCTTCATACATGCTGATCCTTCCTGCTCAGTGCTTGTCAATCGGTCCTTAAATTATTGATATGCAGTATTTTTCCTAAAACATCCGGATTTTCCAGGTGAGCGTACAACATTTTTTCACGCGGCTTCACTTGACTCACTTCCATGTTAGCCGCATCGAAACAGACAATAACGCAATTTAGACGGAACGAAGCCGCCTGTTTACCGAGCCATGCCTGGCCCGGTATGAACAGCAGAAGAATGGCTATGCCGACCAGACCGGTTGGGCCGATTAGCCGGTAGACCAGAACGGAGACGATCACCATCTCGACTGGACCTTTCCACAGGTCGTTCAAGAAGATGACAGCGTAGTCAAACCGGCCATGAGGTTGATGATGCGACTGCTGTTAGTTGAAGGGCCTGTAATGATGAGGAATTCATTATAAGACTGTGCAGAGCTTTGAGCAAGTCCTGAAACTTAGACTTGATCCATAAATAGTGTGGAGGAGGCCTTAAAAGATTTCTGATGGAGGTGTATCACAATTGGATGTGTCAGCCAACATTTGCTTTAGATGGCTTTAGACTACAAGCGAAACAGTTCCAAAGATTCTGATATGGGCATCTAAAGCAGAGCTGCCATGGTAAATTTAGAACTAACTGCTCACTGATTTTGCACAAGTGCGCCCCGCTCACCTCAAATCCATACCTTCATAATCGTAATTAAGGGAAGTGCACACACATTTAGAGTACGGGTAATATTTGATTTGTCCGTGATCAGTGCAATCAGCAAAACTTAAAAATACTATTTTTTGTGTATTGGATTTTCAGTTTAATTGTGGATCAAAACTATTCGTAATCTCTAAACAACCAATTTCTGAAGCCGTCCCGAAATTTCTCATATCATTTTAAAAGTTCCCGCAATTTTCATTGATGTATCTAGAAGTTTCAAAAAATTTCCTAAAGCTTCCCTGAACTTCTTTGGACTTACTTGACATAGTTCCCTAAATTATGAAGAAGTTCTCAGAAGGCCCTTATCGTTTCAACAATTTTCCTGATATTGATGGAATTTCCATCAAAACCTTATAATATTCCTGAAATTTTTGGAACATACCTGAGATTTTCGGAATTATCTATAATTTCTCGAAAATTTTTGAAAGTTCCAGCAATTAATTAAAAAAAAACTACTTTGAAGATCTCTGATCATTGAAGGATGAATATTCCAAAAAATAATGTGCCTAGAAATCTAAAATCTTCTCTGAGGTTTTCAGGACTTCTCTGAAGATCTGAAATTTCCTGAGTTACGTTGGACTGAATTTATAGAAATTATCCATTACAGATCTTTATATTCCTTGAAGTTATTGGGAGTTATTATCGAGAACTAGCTTGTCTGAGGTTCGTGGAATTTCTACTAGTGCAGCTCTCATGAAGATCTACACCAGAAGATTTTCCCAGAAAATCTCTGGACTTCTGTTATGTTTCCCAAATATGTATGAATTTTCTAAATTTATCTAGAGTTTTCTGGACAAATTCTCCTAGAATTCATAGAGCTATCTTGAATTTATAGAAATTATCCATTACAGATCTTTAAACTTCTCCAAAATTCTGGACTTTCATGTGATTATTGGGACTGCCCTTAGGATCTCTGATCTTGTGTAAAGATATCTAGAACCAGGTTGCCTGAGGTTTATGGAATTTCTATAAAGTATTCACAAGTTCTTTGGACTTCTCTGAAGTTTTTCCTTGAAAATTTCTGGACTTCTGTTATGTTTCCAAAATACGTATGAATTTCACTAAATTTCTCATGAGTTGTCTGAACAAATTCTCCTAGAATTCATGGAGCTGTCCTGAATTTATAGGAATTATCCATTACGTACCATTAATCTTCTCCAAAAGTCTGGACTTTCCTGAAGTTATTGGGACTGCCCTTAAGATCTCTGAGTTTGTTTGAAGGTGTCGAGAACTAGCTTGTCTGAGGTTGTTGGAATTTCCATTAAGTATCACGAAGTTCTTTGGACTTCTCTAAAATTGTTCTCTGAAAATTTCTGGACTTCTGTTATGTTTCCAAAATCTGTATGCATTTTCCTAAATTTCTCAGGACTTTTCTGGACCTAAGTATCGAGAAATTCTCCTAGAATTCACATGGCTGTCCAGAAATTATAGAAATTATCCCCAAAGTCGGAACTTTCCTGAAGTTATTGGGACTTCCCTTAAGATCTCTGAGTTTGTTTGAAGATATCGAGAACTAGCTTATCTAAGGTTCTTGGAATTTCCATTAAGTATCCACAAGTTCTGTGGAAGTAAACACCTCACTGGCTCACTACTTGACTAGCCTATTGGTTTCAAGTACATCTATAAGCGTACCCCATTCTAGTACTACGCTATCTTTGTTTTGATTCGCTATGAAAGTTTGACAGATAAAATGAGGGGTCCGTGGATTTTCCTATGTTTCGAGGGGTGCATCGATTAGCTTGGGACCGAACAGCTGAGCCAAAAAGTTGAGCACGTTTCTTCGGGACCTTCTGGTCTTAGAACTACCTCTACACGGAACGAAAATCAATTATTTTATTCATGTGTTTCACTTATACATTTTTGCCAAAACATCAGCCTTATACATTCCATAAGACAAACCACATAGGTCATATAAAAATGCATAAAGGGTATGTGTGACCGCTTATACATTTCATTTGACACATGAGCTTCATTAACTTTTTGCAAGGCGTCTGCTTATTAGTTGACTTATACATTTTATGAATAATCAGCAATAGAAATTTGCCAAAAGGTATAAGGAGATTTCTATCCGTGTATTGTACTAGACACCTTTCGTGTCACTAGTGGCGCTAGTGTCGGCGAAAATCGTGTCTTGGGAATAATAGAAGAGTGGACCATATGTCAATTTATAACATTTGCTGTCATATGACCTTTTAGTTTTGTACTGTACTTTGACAGTTTCAAAAAACGATATATCTGGCAACGCTGCTTGCGCTACCAACCAACATTTTGAGAGGCTGCAAACAACGTGGAGGATAGTTTATGTAGGTACCTACCTATAAGTGCTTATGATGATCACTACAGCCCGGCCAAAGGAAAACAACAACAACAACAACTCAGGAAAGCAGCTAGTAATGTAGTATTTATCGTTCCCGGAGGGAGATTTCGCTCGCCATTCCGCGTAATTGAGGCAGACAAAGTTGGTAACACTGAAACTACGCTTCACAGGGTACGAGGAGGTGCTTGCTATAAAAGTTTCCCGGTGTACAATTGAACCTAACAGGGGTTTGGGCTTTAATCGAAGGTGTAAGTTCGTCTTCCTCTAGGTTATGTCGGTTAATGGGTGAAATTGGTCGGATGGAACGTCCAAG